AACACTTTGTCTCGCGCAACATTGAGCTTGCATTTAAATTAGCTAACCCCTCCGTCAGCTTTTAAAGTTTGAAACTAGTAAGGCTATAAGAGCAGCTATTTCATTTACCGGACCCAAACAGACGGCTCAAAACTTTGTGGGCTAAGGCCCACTTCTGTTGGGCTACTTGAGAGATATTCCTGCCAAACAAAACTTGGACTTATTTACCCAAACGACCCTTTTTTCTTTAATGGGGTAAAAAGGAAAAATTACTTGAATATGTAATTAGTGAATTTAGCAATACTTTTTATTTATTATAATAAATCTGTAATATGTATTAAAAATAAATAATGTATGCAATATATATGTATTATACCTATTTAAAAATATATTGGGTTTGTTTGGTAAGAAATTGACACATTGTATTATAAGTGTATTAAAATGTGTGATAAATGTATTATTCATCAATAAAACTTGTATTATAAGTGTATTATAAATGTATTAAAAATGATCAAGTGAAAAGATGTTATTGCTATAAATGGTAAAAAAATAAATTAATATAGTATATTTAAGTAAGTTTTTGAGGAAAAAAAATATTTAAGCCACCAATAAGATTTTGTCTCTATTTAAAAAAAAGTTTATGCAAATACAACCCTCTAGAGATTTTACTTTTCAGATAATGTTAGACCCGGCTCTAGTACTTATATATATATATATATATTTCTCAATGTTACAAACAAAACTTATATATTACAGAAATTTAAAATGTGCAACGTTTTCTCGTTACATTTCAATTTACTTAAAATGGATCTTTAGATTATTCGCCTAAAAAGTTCATAAGTTTCCGATGAAACTTAGTTATGATGGAACAATAAATACGTTCCAATCATATACTGCATCCATCCATGTATATAAAACTCTAATAATATATAGAAGAGAAAGTGTGACTTTCTTGTCAACTACTAACATATTTTTATAGTGACTGGTACTCTCCCCTTTTAATTGTTAGCCATTTTGTCACTAAGGCAATTACATAATCAATTTTCCTTTAATTTCCCCATTTTTAAGTACAACTTTAAACAAAAAATAAAGCCAAAAATAGATGAAAAAACTCCTTTCCCATCCCTTTTAGAGGGAGAAAAAAATATGTGAAAGGAATATTAACAAAGAAAATGAGGGGAAGTATTTGGTCAGTTTCATGGGAGAACGTGGAGTCCTCTTTCTATCCCACAAAGAAAACATATATAACTAACTAAATAAATAAAAAGAGAAAAGTAATGTCATTTTAGTACTAGCTAATTAGAAAAATTCAATGGAAACTCAATTATCATGTTTCGTTTTTTCCTCCAAGTTCATTGCCTGTGGCTGCAATATATATTGGAACTAACTCAAACTTTTTTTTTGTCTTGTGGAAGGAATATTTCAAGTTCTCTATAATATGCTAGTTACTCATTAGGAGTTTATATATAATAATATTAATATATATGGTGGAGTAGGTGAAGCTTTCAAAATTCAAAAACCAAAATAAACCCCTTTCGTTTCACCAAAATTCTATATATAAACACATTTTTTAGATATGCATCTTTGGCACTTTATTTGTGTATATATAATAGATTTTTGAATATAAATATAGAGTCGATAAAAGTTATTGAATTTTCAAAAAGTCACACCTAATTATCTAGAACCGTCCCTAATTTGTACTCTATATATCTTTTGATCTTTAGTTGTTGTAATTATTCGGAAACTTAGTCCTATAACCCCAAAACATCGGCTTTGTGCATGTATTTGATTAAGTGGTTAGATATTGGTCAGCATAACAAACACAAGTCATAAAATTGAATACGGAAGAAAGGGAAAAAAGTAGAAGAAAATAAAGGAAAAGATTAGACCAATATTTTGATCCAACAAAACTTCAAATTTGAATATGTAAAATCATAATATATTATATAATACGTAAAAATAAACTTAAAAAATATACCTTTGACAATATCGAAATTTATTTTAAATCTGAATTTTTTTTTTGGATAAAAGTCTAGTGGCGAAATTAGAAATTCCGTTAAGAATGTTCAAATGAAAAATAATTTTTAATCTATGTACTTTGTATAATTTTCGACGAATAATGTCCAAGACTAACCAAAGAACTATTTTAGATAAATAATAAATGGATCAGAAAAGACCACATATATGTTTGAAAAATAAATTAAAGACATTAAGAAACGACCCTAGCAAAAGGTACATGGACTTAATTCCTCACAACCAACCCAGCAGCCAGCAGGTAGAGGCTCTAATTTAATTTTATATTATTAAATTTATCTTCTTGTCTTATTCATTTTGTATTTCTCTTCTTCTATAATCAATCTATATAAATATATTATATAACATATAGAAAAAGATAAAATAGACTAGAGTTATTAAAAATGGCCACGTTGATAGATTTTTTCGTAGACTTTTGACCCATGATACATGTCGCATATAGTGGAAATATACATGATTTATATGTTGTGATTTTCATTGTTGTTATACTATATCCAAAAGAAGAAAAAAAGTTTTATCCAGAAATTTCGTTTTCATAATTCGTCGTATTCTACTTTAACGAGTTCGACCATATATAAGATTATTACATTACATGCATGTTTTTGACACAAGAGTTATCATAAACAGTACGTGATTCGTTAACATATGGAAATTTACGTAGCTAGAGGACTACACAACTAATTACTACGCTCCAATTTACGTGATACTTTTTATTTTTCAAGAGTGAAACAGTTTAAGTTTTACCACGAATTTGCGCTTCAATTTTTTTGAAATGAAATTTATATATTTGTAAACTACGTAAAAAGTACTATAAGTCACAATAATTGATAATTCAAAATGTTTAAAAGATCTATGAAAAACTTACGGTCAAAGATAGACTTGTTTGAATCTTGAAATCTGAAAAGTACCACATAAAATGGGACAGAGGGAGTACTTATTTTTCCGTTGCAATTTATGTAATGATATTTAATGGGATACAAACCGTAGAAAATAAAGAATGATTTTAAATAAGTTGCAAATATTTATATGACTATAAATCATCTTATTAAAAATAATTAATGAGTATTTTAAAAACAAATTATTACTAAATAAATTTTTTATCATTTATATTTTACTCTATTAGATCTAATTAGTTCAACCAACATCATTCATCATAGTTAGTCATAACTATTTTTCACGATTCATTGACTTAAACACCCATACAAATGAATCAAGTGTCAGGATCCAAATTAAAATTTTATATGAATAGTCGATCATGAAAATAATAGCCAACAAATATATAGATTTTTTTAATATTTATTTAGCGAATATAATTATTTTTTGTATAACTTGCCCAAATTTAAATTGGTGATACACGAATTTTCAGTCCTCTTACATAATTTCACTCTTTTTATAGTATCTGACATCAAAACTCTTGATTTTTTCGCTGTGCGCACTCCAAACATACATATAGAAGAAAAAAAATAATCTAAAAATGGGTGGGAGAGAGGTGACAAAAATTCTATATTCTAATATTCTCACTCACAAGAAATCTAATCACTGATCGATCAAAATGGATAAAATTTCAAATAATTATTATGCCAACCTTTTTTGCTGGCCCACAATTTAGTGGAGAGAGTTTCAGAAACTCAAAAATGAATCAGAATATGGAATTTTATATATATGGGATCACCAACCATTTTCACTATCAGATGAATATGACCTGTTACGAATTAAGTAGTGGTAATTAATGAAACCTTTTAAGGAAGTCAACTATTCATGACATTAAAAAGGGAATAAAGTAATGCATTCATCCTCTAAGTTTTTTCTTCTTCTAATGTTATCGGATCATTCGAAAGATATTTATGTGAAAATTTCTTAACGAAATATTATATATTCACCCTCTCTGGTCTTCAAAGAACAAAAGAACTACTTTTGAAGGAAAACTCTATCATTCCACTTAGGCATAAATGATAATGCAAGCTAGAACTACATTATTATTCTATGCTTGGGAAAAAGTATAGTGGGGACAATTGTTCCATCAACATTATAGCTTAAAGTACCCTTTGATTATATTAACATATAATATTTTAATTTTATTTATATAAAGAAAAAAAAATGTATATTTTAGAAGGAAAAAAGTTCATGATAGTCTAGCCTATAATCTAGTTGTTAATAGCCTTTTCAACCAAGCATTTGATCCAAAGAAGAATCATTTTCTCCTGGAGTTAATTAAATTACAATTAGTATATTTTTAATCCCTCATGAGTCATGATTTTCTTTTCTTGTACTACTTTAATTAGATCTAATGATGCACTTAGCCTTCAGATTTTATAACCTGGCCTACTTTAATTTAAAAAGCGTAATATTTTATTTCATGATGAATAATTTAGTCATGAAGCGGCTTGTGCATTTTGTTTAGTTAAGTTGGGTAATATTTTTATATGGAAAAAAATAAATCTTCCTTTTTCAATGGAGTACTATAAGTTGCTTTGAAAATAAAACAAGAAAAAAAATACTAATAGAAACTCTTCGTTTTTTTTTGCCGACACATTAGGGGGAACCAGAACCATGAAACAAGCACCATATCAAATGTGTTAGTTAAATTGTTTCTAAATAAAGTAGTTATTCGCCGCATTTGCTATCACCTACTTCTTGAAACATATAATTTGAATTTTATGAGTTTTAAATTTTAGAATAATTAGGTTAGATTATAACTAAGTTTAAACTAGAGTTACTGAATTTGATCAAAAGATATTTTACCTGAATTGAAATCAACCAACTAAACAAATTAAGTAAGAATTCATCATAAATTAATTAATTTCAATTGCTAGCTAGTCAATTTATCATAGTCTTTTCCCTTTTATATAGGTTTTAGAATACATTACCAAAATAAGTACTGGAAATTTTGATCATCAATGACAATGACTTTCTTGAAGATATATCTATTGACCTTACTTTAAAAGAATTAATCCCAAACTTCTTCCATTATTCCATAGGCTCTAATCTCATAAAAAAGTAGTAATTAATCAAATTATTAAGTAGCAAAATTCAAACAATAATACAACTTTCTTTTTTGGGGCATATTATTGTTTTCTTCAATCTATGCGTATTTACAAACCGAAAAAAAAAATAGAAGAAAAATTTCAAACTTTCCTTGAGAACATTTACCTTAGTGAAGAAAATTCTTGACAAAAAAAATTTAATAACAAACTCGAATTGAGATTTAATTATGCTTCATGAATTGCAGCCTCAGAAATACTTTCTAAATGAGGCCTCCATACTCCAACTCTTCCTCTTCTTCTATCTCTTTGTGTTGAGACTTTCTCAGACAAGATTTCACTTAAATATTGATCATTAGACACCATCATATTTTTACTATTACCATTTATACTATTATTACTATTCGCATTACTATGACGACCTTGTGATGATGATGATGATGATATTGATGATGAAGATGAAGATCTTGTTTTCTTCTTTCTTGTTGTTGTTGTTGATGATGATTTTGGACGATTTTTTTCACTTGAAGGAGTAGGAAGTGGCATGAGGAAATAAATCTTTCCACGTTTAAGTTCAGCATCAGGAGGAACTATGACGATTTTCGGACAAACTCCTCCTCCTTCTGAGGAATAATAAGATGATGATGGTTTTTTAAGAACATGTTTAGGGTAAATCTTCATGATTTCAGCTGCTTTAACACTTCCACTAATCTCTTCAACTTTGCCATTAGCATGAACTATTCGAATCACATCAAGTGCCCCACATGGTAGTATGCAAGATATGCAACATCTTATTGTGTTCTTCATGATGGCTATCTATTTTTATCTTTATTGTCCAAAAGAAGAAGGAGGAGAAAGGAAAAGAGGAAGAGAAAGAGAAAGATAAGTCTATTTTCTTGTGTTTATAATGAGAAGCAAAAGAAGAAGTAAAGAGAGGAGAGGGATATTGTATTGGTATCAATATCAATCAACTTGGTATAGTTTTTTGTTACTACAAATGATGATTTTATTATATGCTTTGGGGGGCTTACCACCTTTTTCCCCCCCTTCTCTTTTTGTGGATACTTTTTCTTTCGGGGTGGAACTAAAATATAAGTTACAAGTTCAACTAATAATAACTTTCATTTAAATAGAGGTGGATTTAGAATTTAAGATTTATAGGTTCAATCTTTATGGTTCTTAATTAGAATTGAACCTATTGTATTTCTAAAGTTATGGGTTCATACATATTGTATTGTTTTAATATTTAAGTGGAATATGTTTACACATAAATTATACCCCGCGTCGAAAGTATTGTGTTCAGATAAACTCTATATCAATACTCTACTACATATATATGCCTCTGAATCTAAACTTTGTATTTGTCTTAGAAATCTATTGAATATGTACTAATATTAATTTTTGAATTCAATAACTTAAATGGACTAAAATCTCGAATCCATATATTTCAATTCTTGGCTCAACTCTGTTTTTTCTTTGGTCTTTTGCATATTTTTTTATAATTAAATTCACTTGTTTGGGGGGTTGGAAATGAATGGCATGAATAATTGCACCTCATTTTGTACTTTGCCTTTTGTATCCATCATTCAGGGCCCTTTGCCATTCAATTCCATTCTCCAATAGCCCTTAATTTGCTGAGTTCAATTAATAATGGGAGTTGGCTGCCTTACCTATGCATGAAACTTGGATGACCCCATGTTTGTACATGATTGGAATTGACATGTCAGCACTGGTGGGGCCAACTACATTTGCTCTATGACCACGTGTCTGAATCAGAATTCAACACCTGTCTATCGACATTTGGTTGAATTCTCCTGGTTTAGAGTAGGTGAAGAGGCTAATTAGTGTAGGGTCTTTATTCATGAAAGGGCCAAAGAGAAATACTTGTGATAGAAGAATAGTGTTTTTAGAATATGGAGAAGGTTTCATTTGGTCCCTAGCTCATTAGATTTAATTAAGAGTGAAAAGGAAATTGTTTTTCTTTTTTTGCATTTTGTTGGAGTGGGTGGAAAAATAATCAATAAGGAGATATGGGACATATAAAGAGATCTTCTTTTGATTGGAGTTTTTTTTTTTGTGATTTTTCAATATTCCCAAGCAAATCATGTGGGTTTGTGGTTTTCATGGGAAAGTGAAGTGTTTATAGACTCTTTTTACTCATCTCAAGTATATAGTTGATTTATGTTTTTAGGATATATATATATGTAGTGCTTTGACTAATGTGAAGTTGCTTGTCCTATTTACCCTAGAAACATGAACTTCTAGCCACAAAACCAATGTGCATTTTTTCCATCATTACCCAATATCAATAGTCAATTAAGAGAAAAGATATACACACTATATATCCTAATTATCTAAAATCTAGTTGGACTTTCAAGATTTCATCCCTTTTTAAAATTTGAAGAATTTATGATTCCAAATCCAATTGTACTATATGTTTTTCAATAGTAGTTATAGTATATTCAAATCCAACATCATGACACAAAAGAAAGTGGTTCAATCTGATCTATATATCCAAAGTGAAAAAAAGTTGTAACATGATTGATTTGATGTGCAAAACATTGTCATATAATAATGGACCATGACATTGATTTACTTAGGGGGCCAAAAAATGAAGCTTTGCTTAGAGCAACAAGGTAAAAAACACATGTAAAGGTACTTTAAAACTATAGATAGCTTATATATACCTTATAAATCAATTTGAGTTATTGCTTGGTTAATTTTGGTTGTCCCATCAAAGTTATGGCCCAGTCATTAAATGGTTCAGATATGGATGTTAGTGGACTACATGTGAGAGGATGGAGAAAAGGGTCCATATGTGGGTCTAGGGAGGGGGGTGGGGGTTAGAGAAGGGGGTATCTTACTTTAAGGCATGTATCAATCCTCTTGATAAAATCTAGGACTTAGTCCTTAGATTTGTGATTTTTAATTGATTTAGTGATTAATACTAACCTATTGTTAGAAAGAAATTTTACGCTATCAATATAATTTTACTTATTATAACATATCAATCAATTTATGTATAGTTAACTTTTATATAACCTGATAGTGTAAACTATTTTATAAAAATAGTGTTGAACTTATATATAGTACTCTATTATTAAAGGTGATTTAGGAGTAATAAAAAAAGGGAATTTGAGTTTGAGATGGATCATGGGTTGTCTGATAGCTTTCAATAATTGGACACTAGTGTGGATAGGAACTCTTTTCTACCATAATTCTAATTTGCCAATCATCTTCTTTGAACAAGTAACAAAAAGGGAATTTTATTACCCTTCTGACATATTTATCAACTTCTCACTTTCCATATACTTGGTCTGGAACTTCTCTTCCATCTCTCTCTCACACAAAATTCTATTTGTTTCTGTTGGATTTTCTCTCTCTTTTAATTTCTTCATCCTTTTTTTTTTTTTATTATTATTATTATTATATATCATATAATATAATATACACAATCAAGAATATCATAGGTTTGGATCCATCTTATTAGAAGATTGTTTTGTATATTGGCCATAATGCAATTTCCTATTATTCAAGCCCATGACTATATATACCTACCTAGCATTTTGAATCGGGATTATACTTGCTACGTCCTACCAACAAAATTTGAACAAATGAGAAAATTAAATTATCTAATAGGTACTTTTGCTTTTGTTGAGATTTAAACATAATATCTCATAATTCTTAACTCACTTTCATTAACCACTAAGTCACATTCTTGAATTTCGAGACTCCCTCATCTTAGAACTATGCATGAGATATATAAATGAAAGAATTTTTCTGCGCAGCGATAATATAAATAATGTTGTACTATAAAATCAAGTCTACACACAATGATAGGAACATTTCTATTTCAACTCTAATATAATAATTTAGAAAATTGAATAACAACCTGTAATCAGTTAAATATGGTGTAATAAAAATGATTCTTGGGGTATAGTAATTGAACAGCTCTTAACGTAGTACAACTTTATGCATAGAAGACGTGACACAAGTAAACAAGCTTTGATAGTTGAACTTTTTATTATTTTTAGGAACATTTTCTCTCAAGACCTATCAAACTAAAAGTCACTTGCTAAAATAATGTCTTTACTAAAAACCAGAAAAAAATAGATATACCATGTGAAAAAACATATATACTAATTGATAATCAGAATAAATTGGTACTTCAACAACTCTAGATGCTGTTGATGAAGATGACTGATCCATATATCTGTATTGTACCTATCAACATCTCTTTATTTAATGGGTGAAAGATTAAGGAGAATATATTTGAGAATTTTACACTCAAACTACCTTTTTAATTCAACTAATGCATTAGTGGGGATCACCCAAAAGCTTTGTTTGAATTTAACTTTTATATACACTAGGGGTAGTTTAGATGGTGGGATATAATGATAATAATCTCGAAATATCTCAAAGAACTATTTTATTCTGTATTGATATATAATGGGTAATAGTTAATTTAAAGATTATTTTACTCCACCATTTTAGTATAAAGATAGAATAATAATATAAGTTGTTTCATTTAGAAAGTGAGATAAAATAATTCTATGAAATATCTCAACATATTCCATCTCACAACCAGACATTAACCCCTTAACAACTTAACTTTTCTTTTACATTGTCATATCATCTAAAAGATAACCAGGGGCAGAGGCGCATATAATGAGGGGTTCATCTGAACTCCCTCAGCGAAAAATATTACTATTTCTATATGGTTAAAATTATTTTTTAGGTATGTATAATAGATGTCGAACCCCCTTCCACTAGTTCGTATGTTTACTTCTCAGATTTTGAACCCCCTTATTAAAATTTCTGGCTCCGCCACTGAAGATAACCACATATAATTACTCATTACAAAAGGAATTAATAACTTAAAAGTTAAAATAATTCGATTAAGATGTAGGATACCTATCCAGAAGTTTTCGCAACTCAATCATAGATAGATTTTACCTTTTCGAACTATGTCGGGAACTTATAACTAGAGGCCTAGGTTACAAAGAGAAGATGTGTATGAATGAGATATCCAATAAGAAGAAGAAGGAAAAGGATTGTAGAGATTGAACCTCTTGTTGTTCCTCAATAGCTCAATGGTAGAGCAGTCAACCGTCCAAATCCAATGCATGCAATATTAATGGTGGGACCAAAATTTTTATTAAGGAGATTTAAAATATGAAGAAATACACAAGCTAAAACATCGTTAATGATATGGGTATCACCACTGAGGGTTAGGGTTCCAAGTGGGACAAAAAAAGTTCTCTTAAGATATCTTAGGCTCGAGTCCTAAAAAAAGTTTTCAGTCAGTTGAAGGGAACACTTATTTTTTAATGAGCAGTGAAAATTGGACATGGGTATAAATATTTTATTGATATATTTTTCATGAGAATTAATAAGAACCCTATTTTTGCAACAAAACAATATATCTTTCTCGTGCTCCCCGACTTTAATTGCACATTGAACTATGTGTATTACTACCATATTGAAACAAAATAACACAATTAGATGCACGTACATGTGTTTATCAAATTGAGGTCATCCATAACAACTTATTAAAACGACAACTGATTATTATTCTATTAGTAAGCTAAAGATTATAATATTCACAAGTAGTAGTTTCTTATAGGATTAAGTAATTTTACTTGGGAATCAATTGATTTCCTTCCAATTATCTTGCAAAGTAGGTGTATACACAATAGTAAATAAGTTGTTTAAAACTGTATATAACCTCCACATAGATATGTGAAATATACGTTTAAGAAACGGTAAAAATTATAATCTTGCAACTTTGCTTTTAAAATACAAATCTTTACCCCTCCTCAATTTTGAACCATAGACTACATTGTCACGAAAAGCCAAAACGAAAGAGTTAGGCTAAAATTATTAGATGGAAGACTCTGGAGAAGGAGTTGGTGAACTTTGTTGATAGGTTTGATCAACCACCATCTAAAATGATATAGTTGACAAGCTCAACATTAGAATTTGAGTATAGAAAGGTTTTCATATTTGACTTTTGTTTGGTTGCTTCTAGTTCTAAAGATTCTAATTTTTTTTTGTAAATTTATCATTAGACGAAAGCCTCTTTGTTTTTCTTTCCTTTTACTCTGATAATTACGTACGTTAGAAAGTATAAGTATGTGCCCCTCACTCCTAGTAATGTAATGGGTAGGTCAGGTTTTCCCCTATCAATGCTACTTTGTTTATCTATTGAATTTCTTTTTGTGGTAACCTTTAACAAGGGGCTAAAATTATTTTTCTTTTTCTTGGGGATACAACGTCAGAAATTTCGGGGGTCACTCATTCAAACAAAACTTGTACTAAAAAAATTAGGATTTTGTTAAATGTTATTAAAATTGCACGATTTCGTTAATGGAGGACAAAGACATTGTACTCAACAACAACATTGTTTGTTTTGACATACAAAATGTGAGCCTTTGTCAGACTATATCCACAAGCAAACCTGAAAATCATAGTTCCGCACAAGAGGCATCTCTCTTAACACTAGACTTGATCATATTCCTACTAGAAATACTCATCTTTGGAATTCTAATAGGGATCCAATTATTTTTTTAAAAAAAATAATGTTAATGAAAAATAGATACATTATACTCGACAATAGCATCATCAATTTTGACATTAACAACATGACTCTTTGTTAAGTTCAAACAAAATTGAAAATTCCAACTCCACCGCAATAGGCCATATCTCCCAATCACTAGACATGACCATATTTCTACCAAAAATTGAACAAGCACGAAGTCATACTAATGCGATAAAGTTTGTGAGTTATCCAACGAGATATCTTAAGTTAAACTTGAAATCATGACACTTCAGTTGAGCTTGTGACTTTGTACAACTTAATCGAACTTAAAAAGAGTCAAAAGTGGCTATTTTTGTGCAAATCCGACTACCAATAGCCCAATTAGTCCATATTACAAATGGCCCATAATTAGTCCGTCGTTGGCCTCCGAACGTGCTGTTCTGAGTTCCCAATTTCGTCAAGGTTCCACAATTCTTCTGCTGCAGAATGCGGACAATAGCAGCGCGATTCAGCCCTGTAATGATCACCATCATCATCAATTCTCATTTTTCATCTGTTTTCATTTGCTGATGGATTTGTGTAATAATGTTTATGCAGTATTTATGGAGGAGAACGCCTATAAATTCACAACCCCGACGTTTTTCTACTTCCAGCTTTGGGAGAGGTAACGATAATACCTAATCTGAATTTGGAATCTTGTTACTTCTTTAGTGTTTTTCTAGCTGTTATTTGTTTTGTTTGTTGCAATTTGTACAATGATCTTCTGTGTGATTTTCTAGATGAACAGTCAATAGAACAAGAAGCTGAAATAAAAGTAGGGTGGCTTTTAAAATTAATTTTTGCTGGGACTGCTACAGTTATTGGGTATCAAATTTTCCCATACATGGGTAAGGTCTCATTTCTATGGTTATACTTGAATTGATAACATCATATTCGATTCCTGATTTGTGGTCGGCATAATTTAAATAGGAGACAATCTGATGCAGCAGTCTGTTTCACTTCTACAAGTCAAGGATCCCTTATTTAAAAGAATGGGTGCGTCCAGATTAGCTCGTTTTGCTATAGATGGTAAGTTTGGGTCACAGTACTTGAAAATTGAGAAATGATGTATACATATATTCTTTAATGGGTTCAACTATATGTTGGCCATTTGGTGCACAATATCATGACTTTGATGTTATTAGTAATGTGTGCAGATATGTCTTTGATTTAAGAGCAGTAAGGAGCTGTCACTTTTTGTTTTCAGTGTAGTGACAATTCTGTGAGTTGTGAATTCATTGAACCTAGGTTGATCACCCTTTTGTGTTGTTAGGAGCTCATTCGAATTTAACTGATAACATTAACCTCTTACCTCCTCTGCATCGTCTGTTATATTATAATAATTTACACGCTAGATAACTATATGGAGCTGAGTCTCTTGCATCTGGACGCATTCCCCATTCTTCATGATTTATTTACTGTATAACCTTCCTTTGAAACTTAAAGCTAATGGAACTCCCCACTGATTAGTTGTACAAAATAAGGAAATTTGTTTCATTGTCCCAATATAAGACGAGACCACTCCAGTACCTTAGATTTTAGTATCATAGTCAACCTCTATTTGTTTGTTGTTCCTTTTCTCAGTACTATAACAAGGTAGCTGTATTTCTTAAATAGCATTTTTCTGGTCTTTAAATATCTAAAACATTATACTAGTTAAGAGGGATGCACACTGCTTAATTTCCATATGATATCTTGTAACAGATTAGCGACACAGTTTACAGTTTTTGCTCAAAGTGCAATATTTTGAAGTTTGTAGTCAAGACATGACAGCTCTTTGAAGTAATCATGAGACTTTTAGATTCTTATCCGTGAATCTTTTACACTATGCATTTTTGCTTCCTAGACGAAAGAAGGATGAAAATAGTTGAGATTGGTGGGGCTCAACATCTGTTGAACATGTTAGAGTCTGCCAGAGATGATCGCACGAGGAAGGAAGCCTTGAAGGCTCTTTTTGCAATATCCAAATCAGGTCAGGACTCAAATTTATCTGCAAATTAAATCCATGAGGATTTCCCCTTGATTCTGCAAATCCAATCTCCTCCCTCCGTCTGAGGCCTGCAGGTCATTTTTTGCCCCTGAATCACTACTCTGTGGATGCATTTTACTACATAATGAGTGATGAATATGCGTGGACGACTACCTTGTTATATCAAACTTCCTGAATCTAGCCACAAAATTTTAATAGACAAAAACCATTTAGCTGATAGAGAATGTTACCCTACTTCACCTTGTTAAGATATGTTACAGAGAAGAGTCTGCTTACTGGTTGACCCTCTTGGTAATTCTTCTACTATTGGCTACACCCAAGAGTTCTGTGATTGAACAATATCTGGGCATTTCCACAACGATAGATGCTTCTTTGCTATAAATTAATTTTATGCTTGATGTTTCCTTGGAAAGGTTTCTCCCTAAAATGCCTTTAATTATACCGCCAAACTGTTGAAGCACTATGTAAATAGACAAAAAGAAATTGGACAAGAGGTCTTCTGTAATTTTGTGTACTTGACAGGGCCTCCTTTATCAGTGAAACTTTTAGGATAGACAAATTAGGAACTACTTTTTCAGACAAACCTCGGATACTACTAGGATAGGTACATCTGTGACTATCCTGTATTTTGTTGTGATGCATCTCTCCTCAAAAAAAATATTGCTGTGATGCATAGTGATAAATATTTCTAGTCTTTTTTTCTTTTTTTTTCCTGAGCCAAAAAAAAAAAGTCACTTTAATTGCATGGTTTTCTAGTAGAAGCCCAGTCAACCTTGGCGCCAGTGTTCTCAGCTTAAACAAGAAATTCTCTGGTGCTTGTGGCTTGTTACTTGAGGCAAAAGAATGCTGTACAACTTGATTCAGTTTTTCTTGATGTTTAACTTTGGATGTATGAAGACGTCTTATTTTATTTCGTATAGCTCTTGCTACCTTATCCTATTTTGGCTGATGAAACTAATCGGGAGATTAAGACCAATTGGCTGATGATAGTAGGCATTTGGCAATAGTATTTGAAATCATGTCCAAACGGGCCCTAAATGTTGCTAGGGCCTAGGGCTGATGTTTTCTAGCCTGCAGGTTAGCTTGACATATTCTATTTGTGTCAGATGTTACTAGAATACCTTGCTGAGGCACTTGTTATCTGTGCTTGAATTATCTGCTTGAATGGATGTAGTGTTTAGTGCTCATTCTTATACTGCAGATGCGGCTGCTGTGGTCTTACATCAAGCTGGAGCCATATCAATCATCAAATCCACCCTAGAGTCTGGTGAGGATGCTGAAGTTGGGAACTACAAGTCAAATTTGCTGAGTAGATTTCAAGATTTATCATATGATATAAGGTCTTGAGACTACTATTATCTGGTCTGAGATTCCTGTCACTTTCTTAGAAGTTGGCCACAACGTCTTTAGGTAGATGTTTTATTAGATTGCTGGCTAGCACTTTTTTTTCTGAAAAAAATTGAGAGAATATGTGCATGGCTGTAACAAGTCCACTAGAAAGCCATGATTATGTTTAGTGAAAGCTCCCTTGTTTAATGGGATCTTAAACATTGCTAACGAGTGAGTTTAGCTATAATGTTGTAACTTCTTCCAGGGGTATCAGAATGGAAAAATAATCCGTATTCCCAATGCAAAGTTTCCATTATGCAGTGTCCTACAATTTGTATTGTCAGGGGTAATACTTTTGGCTTCCCTAATTATGTTTTGGGAGCCAGATTATAAATAAAAGCAAAAGGACGCTTGTTGGCTTTGTTTCTTCATACATCCTATATGTAAAGAGGCTCCTATTCAAACATAATCTGATTTCGTTAATTTTGCAATTGCTAAATATTCTGAGGCAATTAATGATCGTATCATCTTAATTATTTCTTAAATATAAATCAACAAGCAGTCCAGTCCATAGTTTCTACATTGAAGTATTAGTGACAATATTTGAAGCAAGTGTTAATACTAAATATGTATTTGTAGCTAGTTTGAAGACCCTCATGCCAACTTCCTTATTAATGAAATGTTCCTATTGGCAAAACTGATAACATATATACATTGGATATTGTATTGTGTTCCTCGACCCTACACCTCCTCCTACCCATTCTTCTCCGAGATATATTTTTCTTGAGAAAGACTTCGATGGCAAGTTAACTCTTCTCTGAAAATTTGATGGTTTGGAGAACGTCAATCCTCTAGATTTTCCGATGTACCTTCCGTTTCAACTAGGCACTAAGGGGTTGTTTGCTTGAGGCTTTAGAAGTCGCATCTAATCTGCACTAAACTATACATACCAATATTTGGTTTGTGTTGAGGAGAGGTGAAAATGATTACACCATTAAAAGAAGACCCAGGACTTCAAGTTTCAATTAATTGACATTGTGAGTATTTCTATTTGTAATAACTGATCCTCTAAACAATCCTTTTCAACAAAGTAACACGGCAAAGATTGTGGCAAAATGAAAAAGGGAATAAGAACCAGAACTAAGGAGTTTAGAAGTAACATTATTTTTTATAGACTTCAAAATTTAAGGAAATTGATGTTTAAAGACTGGAATATATACAATTTTCATAGAAGAATTAATCCTCGCTCTAATCAATTAGCAGAAGACCTACTACATTCTCCTAGCCGTGACAAAATTTCCTCACAACTAGGCCGTTCATCTGGTTCTGCCCAGCAATCTACAACACAAAACGAAAAAAATATATATAATGAGTAGATCACACTATGATAGAGTTTGTACATATTATACACTAATAATGCAAAAGAATCAGGTAACCTGTTAAATTATGGGAACAAAAACTACTTTACACTATCAGTGTATATAAGAAACGCGTCCACAATGTAGAGTAAGATATTCTAATGGAAATGACCTGCAATTAGCTTTCCTAGAGGACCTTCAGGAATTTCTAGCCGTTTTCCATCATTAGCAACAGCATATACAACCTGAATTTGTGAATTTCCATTATATGAAGATTGCACTTGAAGATGAAAAGAAGTGTACTTCTCTTCTGTTTTTTCAGTGGAGCTGACAAGAAAGGTTATGTAGAAATTACCTGGATAGGTGGAACACCTTCCCATGGTCTTTTGAGTGTGTACAGTTCCCATATAATGACCCCAAGACTAAAAATATCACACTTTTCAGTGAAAGGTTCGTTACGGATAAGCTCTGGGGCCATCCATTCTGGTGTACCTGCTGAGGAAGAATCTTGCACGGGCGATGGAGTCAATGATCGGGACAGCCCAAAATCACAGATCTTGACTTTGGAGTGTTTATTTACGAGGCAGTTTCCACTCTTCAGATCACGATGCACAATTTTCATCCTATGTATACACATCAGCCCCCTAAATAATCACAGAGAAGCAGATGTTAAAGATACATTCAAAGCAGAGAGCAGATTTAGCAGAACTATAGCCTAAGTTGCGCGGACTCTTCAATTTCGATGCCACACCCGTGTCGGATTCTCCAAAAATACCCTACTTTTGGCGAATCCGACACGCACCCCTCGACATTTTTGAAGACCCCGAGCAACATAGACTATAGCACAAAATTGTGAGAAATATTGAAAAAGAATAATATTGAATTGTTGTCTCTACAATATTACAGAGAGACCCTATTTATAGACACCTTTTCCAACTAGGACTCTACAATACAATCCTTTTCTAAGTAGGACACTATATACTATTCCTATTCTAAGTAGGATTGCATATACCCATTGCTATTCTAACACTCCCCTCAAGCTAGTGCATACATATGTATCTAGCTTGTTACAAATATAATTACTACGAGGAAATATGAGGCTCTTGGTGAGATATTTGCAAGTTGATCACTCGACTTCACAAAATTGACAGTCAAACTCAATGTGCTTAGTCTTCTCAAGAAATACTAGATTTGATGCATAATGTCAATCAATCTCAATGTGCTTCTCATGAAATACTCAATTTGATGCATAATGGCAATAATAAAATTACAGTGTTGAACTTCCCAAACCAAGCGTGCAGTGACTTACGTAATCGACATACAAGGATACTAAACCACCTAATTTTGTTGCTCGGGAGTGTTTAGTAGTCTTGTATGTCGATTACGTAAGTCACGCTATGGTCTAAAACAGTCTTTGCACACTTGGTTTGGTAAGTTCAAAGGGTCTGCGATATCCAGGTCCATGTCCTCAAGCATTGGGCAACGAGAGATCAAATTCTCAAGATATTTGTCAGAAATAGCATCATTAAGCAATTACAAGCATACTAAATGCTTGAAAGGTAGGTGGAGGATTGACAACACAATAGTGAAGAGTTAAATGCCTCATCTTCAAACATGTGAAAACTAAAGAAGGCAATTTGTACTTTTCACCCTTTGGAAGTTCAAACACGAGTTGCTTGAGCCCATTCCATGATAGGAAACATATCAAGTTGTCAATCTAAGAGAAATGTTTTGGATCCGGAATATTAGAAATTCTACACTCATTAATTGGTCCTTGACGAAGTGAAAATAGATGAAGGAGACTCACACCAAGCTTAGCTCTAACTTTACGGGTTGATATATCTTCCCATAGTGTATGATCAAGCGTTAGTTTTGGAACTTTTGCCCACTTATACCACCATTTTCTTGACAATATAATCATCCTAACATCATCTCATAGAAGCAAACACATTAAAATGACATCAATTACATCGTCAGGAAGGTTGCTAATTATATCACAAGTTCTTCTGCATGGCGCTTCCGTCATATTTGGAACCGATAGAAAAATCTAGATCAATTTATACTATCAAATTTTACTCAAAAAATCTCAACTCAAAATATGATGAAAGAGCCATGCAGAAGAACTTGTGATATAATCAGCAATCTTCCTGACGATGTAATTGATGTCATTCTAACGTGTTTGCCTCTACGAGATGCTGGTAGGACGAGTATTTTGTCAAGCAAATGGCGATATAAGTGGGCAAAATCAAATACTATGGGAAGATATATCAACCCGTAAAGTTAGAGCTAAGCTTGGTGTGATTCTCCTTCATCTGTTTTCAGTTCGTCAAGGATCAATTAATGAGCATAGAACAAAATATTTCTCTTAGATTGACAGCTTGATATTATTCCTGTCACGGAATGGGATCGAGCAACTCCTGCTTGAACTTCCAAAGGGCGAAAAGTTCATATTGCCTTCTTCAGTTTTCACATGTTCGAAAATGAGGCATTTAACTCTTCACTATTGTGTTGTCAATCCTCCACCTACCTTTCAAGCATTTAGTAAGCTTCTTCACTTGCAATTGCTTAATGTTGCTATTTCTGACAAATGTCTTGAGAATTTAATCTATCGTTGCCAAATGCTCGAGGACATGGACGTGGATATCACAACCCTTTGAACTTCCCAAACCAAGCGCGTAAAAATTGTTTCAGACCATAGAATGACTTACGTAATCGACATACAAGGCTACTAAACTTTCCCTGAACAACAAAATTAGGTGGTTGCTCCATATAATTAATACGAGGACAGATGAAGAGCTTGGTGAGATATTTGAAAGTTGATCAATCGACTTCACAAAATTGACAGTCAATCTCAATGTGGTTAGTCTTCTTATGAAATACTAGATTTGATGCATAATGTCAATCAATCTCAATGTGCTTCTCATGAAATACTCAATTTGATGCATAATACCAATAATAAAATTACAGTGTTGAACTTCCCAAACCAAGCGTGCAGTGACTTACGTAATCGAAATACAAGTATACTAAACCACCTAATTTTGTTGCTCGGGAGTGTTTAGTAGTCTTGTAAGTCGATTACGTAAGTCACGCTATGGTTTGAAACAGTCTTTGCACATTTGGTTTGGGAAGTTCAAAGGGACTGTGATATCTAGGTCCATGTCCTCAAGCATTGGGCAACGAGAGATCAAATTTTCAAGATATTTGTCAGAAATAGCAACGTTAAGCAATTGCAAGCGAAGAAATTTACTAAATGCTTGAAAGGTAGGTGGAGGATTGACAACACAATAGTGAAGAGTTAAATGCCTCATCTTCAAACATGTGAAAACTAAAGAAGGCAATTTGTACTTTTCACCCTTTGGAAGTTCAAACACGAGTTGCTTGAGCCCATTCCATGATAGGAAACATATCAAGTTGTCAATCTAAGAGAAATGTTTTGGATCCGGAATATTAGAAATTCTACACTCATTAATTGGTCCTTGACGA